AAATCCTCATTATCTTCATACTTGTCTGAAATTAATTCTTGCACTGTTCTTGGAATTTATTTTGAGTTGTCCTTAAAAATGTTCTTGTTCTGACACTGGTTCTTGCTCAAATTCTGTATACTACTCTTGCTCAAATCTTGCATATTTTGCTAGTTCTTGTTTTAGTATACCTGTTGATCTTCTTGATTTTTTATTTTTGTTCATATGGCCACCTCTTTAGAAAGGGTGATGATTATTAGAAAATACCTATATGAGGCATCCTGATTCCTGTCTCTTGCAAGTGTTAATCTCTATATCCTTGATGTCTTGACTTTGACTTGACTCTAAGATGACCTGATTTTAAATCTGCTTAGCCTCCATGGGCTACGAGGTGAAGGGGTAGTCTTTGAAGTACCTGATGCCCTAGAGTTTTGTTCTATTAATTAATTCTAGTACTTGAGGTGCTAGATCTTGACATGCTGATTATATCTGCTCTTGAATCCTTTTTCTGGTTGTCATTATTGAAATCTCTTTGTGGGTCTAATCCTTGAATTCTATTGCTTGTTTCATGGTTAACTATTGTCTCTCCATTTTGACTGCTTGGTTAAATTTGATCTTGATTCTTGGTGAATGCTGTTTTGTTGCTGAATTTTTTGAGGCATTCTACCTTGCACTCTTATGTTTCAGTATTCTTCCAAGCATTCATATTTTCCACTGATTTCATTCTAATGCTATTGTGGAAATTTCACATGTCATTTGATGAGTTTAGCTTTTAACTCTTGTTAATTGCTAAAATCTGTCTCTTGATTCCAGTTGCTTTGTTAAACATGACCTTGCTTATTGGTTAACCTTGTTGTGGCAGAATTTATAAGGCATCCGTGCACTCGTTCATTCATTCATGATCCATATATCCATTGGATGCTTATCCGTCTTTGATAGAGTTCAAAGTTTTGTTGTACTCGTGTTTAAATCCATGCCATTTTTTGCCAACTCATCTTGTGTTGGATTCATAACGTAACCCCACAAGTGTTCTTTTGTAGCCTTGGCAGGATTTATTTCTATTCCTTGTACTTCTCATATCACCCCAACCTCCAGTAGATTGTTTCATGGTAAATTTCATTAAGTAGTTAATGTTCTACTCTTATGATTAGTTGTGGTTTGATATCAGAGTGGCACAGCGGAAGCGTAGTAGGTTATGTTCTGTCCATAAAAAGTTGGTGAGGCAATTGTTTTGTCTCGGATTGTGTGAAGCCATTCACCAGTCTAGATGATCCCTCATTTGAGTTTTGGGGACAAAACTCCTTTTTAAGAGGGGTGGATGTGATACCCCAAAAATTTCTAGAATAAATAAGAGTTAGGGACTGAATTGTGGAAAAATATTGTTTTGGGCTTAATAACAAAAATTTCAAAAGTTGAGGGACTTAAAGAGGGAAAATAATTGGATAAGGATCGGGTATTTTTTCTTCCTCCTTTCTTTCTTCAGCCCGCATGTTCTGCTCTTCTTCTTCTTCCCTGCAGCTGGCAAAGCCCCCAAGCCCGACAGCACCCATCCCTTGAGAAAAACCGGTAAGAAGCTTGGATTTTCCCCTTATTTTCTTGTTCAATAACCGGATTTAAGCTTGGAATTCCCCCCCCTCTCTGCAGAAATTCGGATCTGCCCTGCTCTGCTTCTTCCGCCACTGCTCTGCCGTGTGTGGGGGTGAGTTTCTCGGTTTTTCTGGTAAGGAAACAACATGAACTTCATCTTTTCAGCATTAATTTGGCTTGGGTGCACTTTAATCCCTTTTGGTTTCTTTCAATTTTTAGGTAGTGGCGTGAAAGCTCCTCCAATTTCCCGCCGGCCTTCCCCTCAATCTGCAGCTCCGGTTTCTTTGCTTGCAAATTGTGGTATGTTGACAGCCCCTCCAAGCTTGAAATCTCATCAATTGGTTGATAAATTGATGCCCCATGTGCTGTCCGAATTTTGTTGAATTAGGGGGATGAATTCCAGTAGCAATTAGAGCATTTTAAGTGTGTTTTGTTGCTTAATTCATATAGAAAATTAGTTAATTGATTGCTGTGATTTTTGGAGAGAAAATCCCGTGAGATTAGCTATGGTTTTGTCAATTTTTGGAAGTGTAGTTACTGTTCAAGGCACTGTTCACGGCACTGTTCACGCACAGATGACCAATAATTAACGGGGATTTAAATGATTAGTTTATAATATAATAACAAATTTGGAGATATCTGGTCATGTGGAGATTGATAGGAATAACATCGTGATTAGGGGGTAGTTATGGTGATTTTACTTTTGAACCCGTGGTGTGATAATTAATTTTTGGAATATGTTGATTAGGTTTCTGATCGTTCTGTCAGTTTAGCACTGAGATCGAGTCTTCGATTTTATGCGAGTGAAGTAAGTAAATTATGATAACGCCCTTCGATTTTAAAAGCATATTTTAGCTTGTTTTTGAAGTAGTGGCGGGACTAAACCTGTTTTACACAAATATGATTGATTTGAAATAAGATTAATATTCTTTTTATTGATTTGAGCATGCCTGCTTGAAGTTTATTTAACTGTCCTGATGATTTGAAGGTGATTGTGAATTGTGATTTTTCTGTTAACTTCTGCCTGTTTTGTCTCCGATATGGTCATGTTATTCGTGTGCCTGCTAGTGGGAGGTTTATAAACGCTAGCACATGTCGACATGTTACTGATAGAACCGGTTCGTTTCTGTTATCCTGCTAGTGGAATTATACACTAGTAAATCGTGTGCCTGCCAGTGGGAGTTTTATAACACTGGCCATGATCTATAGAGGAGACGTTTATTTCGTTTCCATACTCATACCTGTTTTTCGTGATTATATTTGTTGGCATGCTATAAGTTTAATAAGGGGCACTTCATATTTTATTTACTGAGTTTATCTCATAGTTTTTCCTTGTCCACCATTTCAGGAAGCAAAACCAAGGACAGGGAAACCACGAGAAGTGACAAGTTAAAAGGCTAACCATTTTGAGATTGATATAGATTTTAGATATAAATCATGATCTTGTAAGCTAGAGTGTATTTGGAGATTTTATGATATGAGAGCAAATTTGATCTT